TTTACTCCATATAACATGTACATGAAGCAACTTTACCACATAACATCATACAACCTTAAACAACCTCTCAATCCACATGACATCTCAGAATCATGACAAAAATCAATTTTTATTCTTGCATTCCCTAACGATTCAAAAATATCATGACACCATACATATCCCTTCAACAACGATCAAAGAAAATGATACCTAGAGAGTTCTACTCATCCAAATGATCTCAAAACTATCTCAAAAGAAAGCTAAGAGAATAATCTGCAACTCTTATGAAGACATAAGATTCTAAAAGATAATCTTCTTAGCTAAAAATTTCAAAAACCGCAGCAGATATATTTGGCGCTTATAGCTAGACCTTTGATCACCAAAGTAGCTATAACTGGAGTTCTAGACCTCCGTTTTACCTGATTCTAGTTCCATTGGAAAGATAACGTCCAAGGCTACAACTTTTGTGAAGACCATAAAATCTAAATCTGTCAATAGGGTACTCATACTGGTACAACAAAACTGCAGCGAAAATATCCTCTACACCAAACAGCAATAGTGTATCAATATATCTAAGGCCACAAAAATACCTCAACCCTTCCAAACTCACACCTCAACTTCACATTCAAGCTTCCCACTACAATCCCAAACCAAAATAACTCACATATTTAGCACAATAGACTTAGAAAATAAAACTCACATGCTACCTAAACCATAAATGGTTAACATGTCAGCACCAACACTCAAGGGAATTACCAACATTTCAATCTCTCATCAAGGATACCAAAACTCCAATCCTCAGATACAACCTCCTTGGATTCAATCGCTACATCTATAGATTTCAGAAACTCCATTAACCGTAAACTCTCGACAAATCAATGTCTGACCCAAATCTAAGGTCCCAATAATTTCTAGTTGGTTAGCACAAGGTTTCGTCCACTACTACTGATACATATGCTCGCAATACGAGCGATACCACTCAACCATTACTTATTACGTAAGTAAGAAGTATCAAAACAAATAAGCAATCATGAATAGCATCAACTAAGCTATATCATGTCTTTCAGCCAAATTCTGAGAAAACAATACACAAGTAAGCACAACACTAACAAGACAAGGGAAACATCATCATTATCCTCATCATAATGCAAAACATTGTTAGAGTACACACAATTAAATAACAACAAACAAAATCAATCATCATAATAGCATATCAATAAATTCCACAATCAATTCATTCTATCATTCATCTACCAAACAAGCATAGTAGACTCATAACTCACGGCCGATTGGATCGGCCTGTTCTGATACCACTAAATGTGACACCCTTACTACCCCAACACATACATCGTAATAATGTAATTAAATTAAGAAAAATAAACTTTCAAAGTTGGTAAAAGGGTTCACATAAAACTTCATAACTGTTCTTTCTTCAAAATCCAAAATAACAGGAAAATAATACTTGTAAGGTAAAATTTAAGAGTTTACAAATTGTTTTCAAAAGACAAGGTTCAACTCCATATACAAATACAATTCATGTCCTAGAAATCCTCTGCCCTGATGTAACAATATCAGAGCATACTCATAATTCAAATGTTGGCATTCTAGATGCCACTCATAGCCGGATCTTCCTCACCTAAAACATCCACAAATTATATGGTGAGAAAAGAAAACATCTATATGTAAAGCACATACAAACATACCACAACATAATCTCTTCATAACTCATTACTTAATGAAATATTTACAAGCATCTATATATATCATAATTTATCAATCATTCATCATCTTCACATCTCAATTCACAATTACATTAATCCATCACAATTCACACAAATCTTACAATTAACACTATGTCAAGGCCACGCCACATCTGACACAAGTGATACGGGATAATTGCCTCACTCATCCCACACCATGCCAGGAGCACGCTCATCCTTGTAGCATCACTTACCCAAGGTTCGTCTCATCCCTGGTCATTAGTGTGAGGAACCACAATCACATTACAATCCACACAAGTCTTGCAATTAACCCTATGTCAGGACTGCCATATTTGACATAAGTGATGCGTGTTAATTGCCTCACTCATCCCACACCATGCCAGGGGCACGCTCGTCCTTGAAGCATCACTACTCAAGGTTCGTCTCATCCCTGGTCATTAGTGTGAGGTACCACAATCACAATCATAATCATATCCACACAACATCTCATCTCATATCTCAATTCCATATTACATACACAATTCCATATCACATACACAACAGATAAGTCCAACAAAATAAGGGTTTACACACCCCTCGAGCAATTCACATCTAGATCATCAATTCTTATCAATTAATATAACAATAACATTCATAAATTAATAAAATAATCAATAGAATTATCAATTTAATATAATTTTAACATAAACGGTAAAACCCCCAATTATTCCAAAACCTAGCTCACAGACACTTTTGTATAATTTCATTCTCTCTCCCAAATCATCATTCTTACAAATTAAATATATATTTCTAATCCTCAACACATACAGAATCTAATGGTATCATTAATTCCTCAAACAGAAATAATCTAATTTTTCCTAAACCTAACTTACAGGCACTTTTCTATAATTTCGTTCTCTCTCCCAGAGCATCATTTTTACAAATAAATCATATATTCGTAGTCCTAAATATATACAGAATCACATAAGACCAATAATTCTCCAAACAGAAATAATTATAAAATTACTCATAATCCTAAGGGACTCTTCCTCTACCCAATTCCCTCATGTAACTCTACATATAAATAATTAGAAGCTGAACCTACACAAGATCTGGTTGGTCTCCCTCGCTGGGTTCCCCTCGGTCTGAAGCAGAAAGTAGAGGAAAAGAAGAGAGAACAGAAGAAAAGAAATCAGAAAATGAGAGGTGTGCCTTTTGGGAGTGGCAGAGAGCTCAATTTATAGGCATCAGGCTTCGCCGGAACGACCCGTTCCAAATCCAGAACAGCTCGTTCTGGACACTTAAATCATGGGTAAAAATCACATCCAGAATTGCACGTTCTCAATCCAGAACGGCCCGTTCTAGGGTATATTTAATACTCACAGCGGTCATATTTTGGAACGGCCCGTTCTCAACTCTGGAACGGCCCATTCTCAACTAAGAATCATAGGCAAATTTAATAGTCTGGAACGGCTCGTTCCAAATCCGGAACGGCCCGTTCGGGCTACCAAAAGTATGTCTATTTAGTAATTTGGAACAGCCCGTTCCAATTTTGGAACGGCCCATTTCGGGCTACTAAACCGCCTTAATTGGGCTCTTGGCCCGGTGAAAATTGGACTGTTACTAGGTTTTACATTAATTTAAGGTAAAATATCATGCTGATGGATCAGTTGAAAGATATAAGGTCAGACTAGTAGCCAAAGGTTTTACACAAATACTAGGTTTGGATTACATTGACACTTTTAGTCCTATAGTAAGAATGACCACTGTTAGAGTTCTTTTGGCTATAGTTGCTGCTTCTAATTGGTCAGTACATCAACTAGATATTAACACTGCTTTCTTACATGGTGACTTAGTAGAAGAAGTTTATATGAAACCACCTCCTAGCCTTATCTTACCTTCTCCTAACAAAGTATGCAAATTACAAAGGTCTCTTTATGGTCTCAAACAAGCAAGTAGACAATGGAACATTAAACTCACTGAGACACTCAGACTGTTTGGCTTTGTTCAGTCAAAGTCAAATTATTCATTGTTTACTAAAAGAACTAATATTGGTTTTATAGCCATGCTTGTGTATGTTGATGACTTGATTATTTCAGGTAGTGATGAAACAGAAATTGTGAAGGTAAAGAGGCTTCTGGACAAACAATTTAGTATCAAGGACCTTGGCCAATTGAGCTACTTTCTTGGTCTTGAGATTTCTAGATCAGATCAAGGCATTTCTGTTTGCCAGAGAAAGTATGCCCTTGAGTTGTTGCAAGATACAGGACTATTAGCATCCAAACCATGTTCTACTCCAATGGATCACACAACTAGGCTTCATCATGATCCACTTGATCTCTATTCAGATCCATCATCATATAGAAGACTAGTTGGTAGATTGATTTACTTAACCCACACGAGACCTGATTTGGCTTTTGCTGTTGGAAAATTAAGCCAATTCATGCACCAACCAAACAATGCACATTTTCAAGCTGCTTAGAAAGTGCTTAGATATGTGAAAGCTACTCCAACAAAAGGTTTATTCTTTCCATCCTCATCAGATCTTAAGCTCACAGGGTACACAGATTCGGACTAGGCCACTTGTCCTGATTCAATGATGAGATCCATTTCAGGCTTCTGTTTTTTTCTGGGCAATGCGTTAGTTTCTTGGAAAAGCAAGAAACAAAATGTGGTGTCTAGATCTTCATCTGAAGATGAATATTGAGCCTTAGCATTAGGCGTTTGTGAAGCTTAATGGCTTCATAAGCTGTTGACATACTTTCAACTACAAGATCTCATTCCAATATCTTTGTTTTGTGATAATCAGTCAGCCTTATACATTGTTGCTAACCCTGTATTCCACGAAAGAACTAAGCATGTGGAAATTGATTACCACACTGTCAGAGATCAAGTTCAAGCAGGATTTGTTCATCTAGCTCCAATCACTTCATCTGAACAACTTGCTGACATTTTAACTAAACCTCTTTTACCAAAAATGTTCCAAGATTTTGTGTGCAAGCTTGGACTTTCAAACTTTACCACTCCAAGCTTGAGGGAGGGTGTCATGATGACTTAACTTATTCTATTTTCTTATTCTATTTTTTATTTGTATTTTTAATTCAGTTAGGAGGTTAGTTAGTCTGTTTTTCTTAATTATAGTTTGTTTTCTCTTGTATTACAGCAACTATATATACTTGTAGTTGATCATTATTAAACACAGTTTTTTAATATAATTCTGATTTCGGATTCTTCGTGCCTCTTCTTCAAGAAAGTTTCTTTCATAACATTTTATGGTGATTTCTTTATCAGAATTGTAATAGATGCCACCATTCTCCTCCAACCTTGGGGCGCAACTCCAGCCTTTAAGCGGCCCTCAAGTCTACCATTCGAATAATATTCTGAAACAAAAGAGAATATATATTTAAATTAACATGTCATCATAAATTTTATATTCTTTCATAAACTAATTTGACAAACACTTCACACTTTGAGCAATCAAAAATCCAAAATAATGATTCAGATCGAATTAATTCTTACACTTTTTGGAATCAATACTTCGAAGATTTGGATGGACTGGGCATCCAGTGGTCAAGAAGAGTGACCAAATATACGGTTCTAATTGTTCCTCCTCATGTTATCAGTAGTCCCACCGAACTCTTTTTTGTTTCTCTTTACCTTCTCTGTTGCAAACAAAACAACTCAGCTACATAACATAAACATAAACATAAGTTCTCATTATTCTCTGGCAGCACACTTTCTGTCTCTCGTACTTCCATGTTGTTTTGTCTCAAAACTGATTTGGGTCCAAAAGGTAACATTTCCTTTTCACTTCTAAGGTTGTTTTTATCTTTCTTTTTCATTTTTTGTGCTTGTTGAAGTGGGGTTCCATTTGCTTCATTATTTAGCTTTATTTTCCTAGTGTGACAATTAATATCACTGATCATCTTCTTCATGTTGAAATTTGAGTCATGGTGTCATCTAACTGTTAAAAACTTGAAACGTGTTTGACCATGTTTTTCTCTCGATTGATGATTTTTGGTTGTGACACCGTAATTTTTCTTTTCTTGTTCTCTTTCTATGCATAGCTTTCAGGTTTCATTTGTTTTGTGAGTATTTTAAATTTTTAATGGTTCTGTTGGTTATTGAAGGGTATATATATGCTTCTAGTACTGGAGAGTAGAAGACTAAGAAGATTTGTTTTTGAAGATCGATTTGGACTTGAGTTTAAATTTTTATAAGAGAATCTTGTAAACTAGATGACAATGAATCCACACCTTATGGGATTTTCTGGTTCCACAAATGAGGTTCGCTTAGGAAATCAATCTTTGCCAACTCTTCAGAATCAGGGATTTGGCACTGGACCCAGATTTGAAAATCTCTTCTTTGATCGAAGTAGGAAATTTGATTACCTTCAATCTGATCCAAATACAATGCCAGCTAACACACCTTCATCCTCCACTGTGACCCATGAGGAGCATTCTCCAGAGGACTGTGATTTTTCTGATGCAGTTTTGAGTTACATCAACCAGATCCTCATGGAGGAAGACATGGAGGACAAGACATGCATGCTTCAAGATTCTTTAGATATTCAAGCAGCTGAGAAATCATTCTATGAGGTGCTGGGGGAAAAGTACCCACCCTCTCCAAGACATCCAAGCCTTATCAATCCAAATGATGGGGTTGGAGGTTGTGACTTCAATGGAGATTATGACAATTGTCCTGATACTAATGGGGATCTCATGAGCATTTTTACTAACCATTTTTTACCACCAAACACAGGTAACTTTCATGCACATAGTTTTCATGGTAGTAGCATTTCACATGCATCTTACAACCCTTCCAATAGTGTGGAAGGGCTTGTAGATTCTCCAAACAATATTGTTCAGGTTCCTGATCTGAGCAGTGAAAGTCAATCCATTTGGCAATTCCAGAAAGGTGTTGAGGAGGCTAGTAAGTTCCTTCCAAGTGCAAATTGGCTGTTTGATAATTTGTCACAACCAAAGCCAAAAGTAGAAAATGATGATTTGTCAGTTAAAGTGGAGAAGAAGGAGAAGGAGGAGGGGGGATGTGTTGTTGGTGGATCCAAAGGAAGGAAACATCCTCAAATGGAAGAAACAGATGCTGAAGAAAACAGAAGCAGTAAGCAAGCGGCAATTTTTCCTGAACCAACATTGCGGTCAGATATGGCTGATATAATTCTGCTTCATAGCACTGGGGATGGAAAGGAACATTTTGTGGCTCGCCGCGAGGCTTTGCAGAATAAGACCAACAAGGGAATGTTGCCAAAAGGTCAATCAAAAGCATCCAGCAATGGGAAGGGGCGCAGTAAGAAACAAGGTGGGAAGAAGGAAGTGGTTGATTTGAGAACACTTCTGGTTCTGTGTGCACAAGCTGTTGCGGCAGATGACCATAGGAATGCCAATGAGTTGCTTAAGCAGATCAGGCAACACTCAACCCCTTTTGGGGATGGAAATCAAAGGCTAGCTCATATCTTTGCAGATGGCCTTGAGGCGCGTTTGGCTGGTATTGGCAGCCAAATTTACAAAGGACTTGTTAGTATAAGAACATCAGCTGCTAATGTTCTAAAAGCTTACCATCTATACCTTGCTGCATGCCCCTTTAGGAAAATCTCCAACTTTACCTCAAACGTCACAATAAGGGCATCTTCAGCACAATCAATGCAGGTCCATGTTATAGATTTTGGCATCCTTTATGGTTTCCAATGGCCAACTTTTATACAACGACTTTCATGGAGAACAGGAGGACCACCAAAGCTACGGATCACTGGAATAGACTTCCCACAACCCGGTTTCAGGCCAGCAGAAAGAGTTATAGAAACAGGACGTCGCTTGGCAGCTTATGCTGAATCCTTTAATGTTCCATTTGAGTATAAAGCCATAGCAAAGAAATGGGACACTATCCAACTTGAGGAACTTGAGATTGATAGGGATGAGTTCCTTGTTGTTACTTGTTTATATAGAGGTAAGAACTTGCTGGATGAATCTGTTGTAGTGGAAAGTCCGAGGAACAATTTCCTCAGTCTGATTAGGAAGATCAACCCAAAGTTGTTTATTCATGGCATCATGAATGGGGCATTTAATGCCCCTTTCTTTGTTACCAGATTCCGGGAGGCACTGTTTCACTACTCATCACTGTTTGATATGCTTGAGACTATTGTGCCACGTGAGGACTGGGAGAGGATGCTGATAGAGAAAGAGATATTCGGGAGGGAAGCATTGAATGTCATAGCTTGTGAAGGGTCTGAAAGAGTGGAAAGGCCAGAGAGCTATAAGCAGTGGCAAGCACGCATTCTGCGGGCCGGTTTTTTGCAACAATCTTTTGATCACAACACAGTGAAGATGGCAATGGAGAAAGTAAGGTGCAGCTACCACAAGGATTTTTTGATCGATGAAGATAGCCAGTGGTTGTTGCAAGGTTGGAAGGGGCGCATCATCTATGCCCTTTCTTGTTGGAAGCCTGCATGAGTATTGAATAATACTATACAAGGGATCTCAATAGAATTTGTGGATTAGTTTGTCAGCAGAGGACCTCAGGTATTTTACTTCAGTTACCCCACTTCTCAGTTCTATTTTACAATGTAGTTTTTTCCATCATTGTTGTTCAGTGAATTTTGAACTAATATATCTGATTAATGTGATAATTGAATAGGGAACCCCCAATATGTGTGGTCAATGATCTATATGCGAAGCTTCAAGCTGAGAGGTCAGTTGGCATGTGATAAGACCTTTTCTTTGATGGTTGTTGCTCATTTTGTGGTATCTATCTTGATGCATTTTTCTTGTTTATCTATCACTCTGTTGTTGCTGTTTTACACCCTTTTGTACCCTTTGAAATGTCGAATCACCTATCAGATAGAGAGAAAATAAAGTTGAGTGCAGTGAAGATTACCAGCTGGTGGGATTGCCAGGGAAGATCATCAAACTCTGGAGTCCGGAATCTTTAGGAGTTGACTGTTGAGAGATCTAGATTCTCCCTAGTTGGATTTTTCAAGCATTTGCACAATCAGCAAATTGGAACCATTAGATAAATATAAGTAGACTCAAATGTTAAATGCATGTTCTTAGTCTTATTTAGTTAGGTAAAGTATGACCTGTCAAATCTGCATCTAATGTTACCTAAGCTAGGGGTTTTCATCCTCCAAAGGTTTGAACAAATTATAGGAGATTCGAGTCATTAAAAATAAAATTTTCCTCCTTGTATTAAGATGAACATGAAATATAGAATGTAACAAAATTTACAGTTGAATCACAGCACATGTTCATTATCTCACAAATGCTTTAGAACTCAGAACTTCTATGAGAAATTATAGTGAGGTAACAAATCTCAACCGTTTGACAAGCCTTGATCATCACTTATTTTAATTTCTAAGTCCAATATTTTATATTTATACAAAATACTATCAACTATAGTGTATCCCAACAGCGTAAAGAGCAGTAAACAAGTTATAAAAAAAAGAAAAAAATAAAACTTAGAAATTGTACGTGGGATAGCATTTAAAGTTGCACGTCAACTATGTTATTGTAGTGTAAATTATATTTTACTCAGCTAGATTCCCGCTACACATGTAATTGAATTATTGCTGGAATTTGATTGGCCAAATATGGTGTGCAAACTCTACTCTATTTGGATGCAATCTGTGATCAAATCTTCAGTAGGTTGCTGTTCCTTTCTTCACAATTTTTTAAGTGGTAATCTATGTAGCTGTTGAGTTGACCAACAATACTGTGATTTAACTTTTCTTCACAAATTTGCGATGCATTTGTATCTCAATTTGGCTGAACAAGATTCTAAAAGTTGGGGGTGTTTAACAAATCGGAATGATTTGAAGTACTGGTATTCTAATTTAAATTGATTAAATTAATTTGGATTGATTGGATTATTTTAAATTTGAACAAAACTAGTTATAATTAGGTTTTTTTTATATTTTTCTTTTTTCAACATGAACCAACTTAATAACCTAATTAACTATTTTTTTAACTTTAGAGTTAACTAGTATTTTATTTTGTGTACTGCATAGACTTGATGTTTATTATATATAACTAAAATTTTGATAATATACATAAGACCTTAATTAAGTTTAAATTATGTTGTCCTTATTTTAAATTTTATAATTAAAATAATAATTAATAATCTTTAATAAATTTATTATTTAATAATAATGATTTAAATATGTTTTAAGTCATGCAGATATTATTGTTATATCTTATTTTAATCCTTGTAAAAAAATTCTCATTATTAAATTCTTGGCTTTTTATTTCGTTTTCAGTCTTGTAACTTATCCTAATAAATTTAGTTCTAAAATAACTAACAAAATAAAGAATATTGATTAAGATAACTAATGTAAAAAATAATATTATAAATTAATATATTTAAAAATATTTTTGTGTGTATAATTTGATTGAGTAATGTATTTTTTACAATTAAATAATGTAATTATTATATTTTTTTAGAAATAATGTAATTTAATTACATTTTTTTATAATTTATTTTTAATTTTTGAACTTAAATCTATTTTTAGTCCGTGTATAGTTGCATTGTGCAATTTCGTTCTCCCATATCTTTTATTGTAAATTTGATCTTAATTTTTAAGATTAAATAATATTAATTTATTATTAACATGTCATCTAAAATTAATAAGAAAATAATAATGTGTTCGATATTATTTGACAATTACTTAGTTATGCCAATTTGTTTGTAGTATGTTGAGATTTCCGTTAAAACTATTTTTGTTAATACTTTAAATCACTTTTGTTCTATCAGCGGTCTCAAACACGGTAAGTATACCGGCCGTTCAAGTAATAAAATTATCGTATTCACAGGGATTAGTAGGTAAAATAAGCATTTATTGACTATTCGTGACTAAAGAATAATTCTAAATTCATAGTTTGTCATGCAAGTTGAATTAAAGGTTATGACTATTGGAATGTAAGCTATAAAAATATTTAATTGTGAGTGGAAAAGGGTAGAAATGGTATTATGATTTTTGTGAGATTGTGGGGTCAGATTTCACCAAACGTCAGACTAATGTATCCTTAATCTCTTGTTACATACATTGCTTAGTCAACCCATAAGTTTACTCAAACCTAATCCCTTAGAGCAAAAGCCTAGGTGCGGATATTGAATATCAATTCCTTGAGTACCCAATATCTACACCCGCATTACGGGCTAGGGTTTAAGACTACTAATGGGCCAA